CAAATCAAACTGGGTATGTACCCTAAGTCGTTTTTAATTGTTGCGAAACTGTCGCCCTTCTTTGTCGCCTTTCAGAAACACAATTCAACTGCCGTTACAAGAAATAAAGCCCATTTGTGCAGGTAAAAAATTGTCGACATTAACAATATCTGCGCTGTTCGAACAGCTTAAATTACTCCATTGATAATATGCTTGGTTGGGAAATTACGAAATTCAGGCTAAACATAAAATCATCTGAGGATGGCTGTCCTCTTCTTTTCGCCCCATCGCAAAGAAACACACCATAGTTTACTTACAGACACATATAAATTCTGTGAAAGAATTCACAGTGGTTTCACTTCAAACGTTCAACGATTGGGAAATATAGGTTAATAGATGCTAACGACAAAATGTTGAATCTAAAAAAAAAGAAGAAAAACTGTGGAAAGTAGCCAAAAGGATTAGCAAACATCAAACGGAATATATCCTTCTACATTTTAACTGATGGCTCCTTATTTACAGAATTCTCCTCTTTTGTTCTAAGACAAGGGAATGACAACAGTTGAGTGCACTCATAAATAGTCCGCTCAAAGTTTCCAAAGGATGAGAAAAAGGATGCAATTAGGAAACAGCCCTCCTGGCGTTATTAATGTCTATTTAAAGACACCCCAGTTTCTTTTAAGTTTGTTCCAACTGCGTGATTCTAAATGTAACAAATCGTAGGAATGAAATAGACTTTGAAACACTCCGGGGTGTGTACGGGAGAGAAAGAGAGGGCGAGAGGGATTGAGTGTGTGAGAAAAAAAGAGAGGATAAGAATGATAGAGTGAAATTACAAGTATAGATTGAGAATGATAATGATAGGGATAGGTGGATTAAGATGAGTCACAGCAAGGGAAATACATGTAGATAGATAAATAGAAAGATGCATGGATAGAAAGGTAGATAGATATATTGAATAGATAGAGATAGATATTACTGTAAATTACTGTAAATTTTATTATATAGAGGTAGATAGATAGATAGAGATAGAGAGAGAGAGAGAGAGGAAGGAGAGAGAGAGAGAGAGAGAGTGAGAGAGGAGAGGAGAGGAGAGGAGAGGAGAGAGGAGAGAGAGAGAGAGAGAGAGAGAGTGAGGGAGTGAGAGGAAGAGGGAAACGGAGAGAGAGAGTGTGAGAGAGAGAATAAGAGAAATAGACAGAAAGAGAGAGAGAAAGAGAGAGAAATGATGGAAGTGAGATTGGTGACGTATTGATAAATGTAGAGACGAATTATTTCATATATACACAGACACAGACGCACAGACAGTCTCAGACACAAGAATGAATCAGGGAGAGAAGGAGAAATTTTTGTTACATTTACTGTTAAGATTTTATGTAGCAAACATGAAAATGTTAAAATATGGCGCAATAATGAAGCTTACATAACAAAGATTTGGAAAAATTTGTCATTCGAAATTCGGAATCCAGACGATGATTCTTTGCCTTTTGTAATTGTTTACTGCCAAAATTGTATTAAAATGATGTATGTGAGTGTGACGTCTTCATTATGTTCTAAGTAGGACATCATTGTTTGTTTTAACGGAGGACATAGTAAAAGACCAAATGGAGGTCCCATCTTTCTTTCATGGCTTTGGTACAGAGCGGGTAGGGTAGAAGAAAATCAATAGATCTCTGTGAGCACTAACAACGTTAAGAAGTTAGCAGGTTTGAGATTAGAGGGGTGACGGTGTTGAGCTCATACTCACTCCTACAGACATTAAATATTCTGCGTGACTAAGAAACGTTGCGATCATGCCCAATGGGAGAAGAGATCACTCCTGGCAGGACATGCGCCTTCAACGTCTGTTTATATTGGGTTGTCCGGAAAATAATGCAGGATTTTGGTATTAAACAAAAAAAAAGAAACTAGTTACTTTAAAGCAATGTTCTTTAATCAAAATAATTTCCCATACNTTCATACAAATGAGTAATCCTGTAAACGTAAACAGAATATTTTATATAGATTTTTTTTAATGAAAACTTAAAATCCTGCATTATTTTCCGGACAACCCAATAGATCTGAAACAACGCCCTCCGCCCCTTTGCCTCTTTTAAAGGATCAACGCCTAGCACGTTTACACCGGCTCTAAATTCTGCGCTAACACAGCTGGAAAAATTTTTATTAGGCTGGTGTACAACGGTGAAAACTTTCATCGAGTCGGTGAAGCGTGGCCTTATTGCCTAATCAACCGAATATTTCATGGAACTGTAAAAATATAGAAGAAAGTTTATCACCATAACCATCCAGCTTTACTTGGTCAATGAAATATGAATCCAGGATGTATTTATGTAAATAAATAAATCATAAAATAATAAGAAATGTAAAGATTGTTCATTGTTTGTATATAAACTTTCTTGTTATCAAGTCAACAATGTAGATGAAGATGATGAAATACAAATTTAAACGTTGTGTTATTGTTTTGTCCTGTTATGTAACTTGTGTTATTAATACATGTAACATTTGTTTATACATTTTGTAAATTAGAGAGAGAGAGAGAGAGAGGAGAGAGAGAGAGAGAGAGAGAGAGAGAGAGAGAGAGAGAGAGAGGGAGAGAGAGAGAGAGAAACAGTGAGAGAGAGGAGAGAGAGAACAAAGAGAGAGGAGAGAGAGAACAGAGAGAGAGGAGAGAGAGAACAGAGAGAGAGGAGAGAGAGAACAAAGAGAGAGGAGAGAGATAACAAAGAGAGAGGAGAGAGAGAACAGAGAGAGAGAGAGAGAGAGAGAGGGAGAGAGAGGAGAGAGAAGAGAGAGAGAGGAGAGAAAGAACAGAGAGAGAGGAGAGAGAGAACAGAGAGAGAGGAGCGAGAGAACAGAGAGAGAGGACAGAGGAGGAGAGAACAGAGAGAGAGGAGAGAGAGAAGAGGGAAAGAGCATATAGGAGAATAGAAAAGAAAGAGAAAGTTAAGAGGAATAGAAGAATAAAAAAGAGGGAGAGAGTGAGAGAGAGAGAGAATAAGAGAAAGAGAGAGAGAGACTTAAATAATTTGAAGAACGTAAATGACAGTATAACACTTAAAAATTAAATTTTTTTAAAAATTATATGTTGTAGTTTGGTTTATAATGTATTCACGCATTTATTTATATAGTTTTATAATTATCTTGATTATAGTAATTAGAAAATAATTGATACTTTTGCTTTTCTTTCGCGAAGAAGCAACAGTGAAAGTAAGAATTGATATTGTTTATACATTGTGATAAATCTACCGATGTAATCAAACCTAAAGGTCTGTTGCAATGAAATTTGTTGACACACCCCAATTGTACCACTTCAAATATTTAAATTTCCTTACTGAAGGTACTACCGACGCTGATATAACAGACAATATTTAATTCATGGTGTACAAAAGAGACCGAGCTTCGACGGGTTTCGAGTCAAATGCCAAATGACCAGCAAGCTTGAAGATTCAAAACCGGTTTTACCTCGAATATTGAAGAATATGGATATTGACGTCCAGAGAAACGATACGGACCACCCTGGTCGAGGGTGTAAGCAATACCGGGTGCTACCTCTAAAAATGCACCGGTCCAGGATAACGAGGATTGACGCTTCGGTTACTTTCTCATCGACGTCTTATGTTCCTTCTATTCTCACCATCTGAGTTACCATCTCACATTTCTTCACTCTATTAATTGCAGTCTAGATTAATTGCAATAAACCTGGACGATCTCTCGTTGAAAAATGTATTCTAAAAGTAAATTCTACACTAAGAAATAATAAAAAATAATAGCAATATGATCACTTATAAAAGAAAGACTTTCTATTCACGGGAGCAGAAAAAAACTTTTCTCCATTTTTTAGATGCTCAAAGTTAAATAAATTTTTTGAAATTTTTGTTTTTAGCGGTTATAAATAGAAATTTGAAATAATAATTTTTTTGTTGAGCTTTTCTTTGTTTAATTTTAATTTTATTTTTATAACTCAGACCATCAACGGACTTTCTACAGTCTTCTGCTTTATATGGGTAATCTTAACATTACTCACTACTACTTTGAAATTATTTTTAATATATGTGCTTTTTGTTAACATGAAAAAACTTTGAAGACTTATTGTCAAATTATGTTTATACGTTTTCGAAACAATAAAACGTATTTTATTAAAAATAAATAAACAGCTATTATTCTTCCCCTCGGAGGATCGGACTCGTAGAAGAGGGATCATCCTTGCTCGATTAAGTATAAGATTAGGCCTTGGTTAATACATGCGAGGTTCATACACGGACACTTACTTTTGGATCAAAGCACGTATGTGACCGGCACGTAGTGAAAGATTGCTCGATAGGTCTCTCTTAATTGACGGATGTCTCTTGGCTTCATATAGAGAGCGTGTAGGAATCACGTACTTAAATCAGTGCGTATTTTTGTCTCCTGCACCGATTTTTGGAAAGTGGACTGCTTTATTGTGTTTTATATAATATTCTATTGTTACATAATGATAGATATCTTGTTTTATGTACCCTTTTGTGCATATTGAGAGTGAATGTATGTATTAGCGTGAGCGTTTAATGTGAAAGAGCCAATATATGTGCGGAGTTGAGCTTATCGAACTTCTGCGACTTACCTTCGTTTTGAAGAGACCACTTTCGTAAAAAAAATTTCTAATTATTGTAGAACAGAATTATAAATATTTTCTTGTGTTGGCCTCGCTTAATTTCAGGAATTTTGTTGTTCGTTTGTATCTATAACATATTTTCTATATAAGCGTATTGTTATTTTTTATACTTGTTTATGTAGTACTGTTATACAGAAACAACTGCAGTCAGATTATTCGTATAATTTATTTAAAAAAAAAAGAACATATTGCGTATGTAACTTGTGACTGTCTTCACAGAAAACTGTCATGAATTTTTGGGCTGAACTATCATGAAAAAATGCTTAGGTAATTTAGACATAGCCATCAAAATTGTTTTTCTTTCAACATAGTTTAATTCAAATAAATTTTTACATCAATCATTTCTAAAACTACGAAATAATAAATTTTTGTTAAAAACGTCAGTATATTAAGAAAACGTTTACAAATGTTAATTTTTTCTTTATTGAAGACAGTTATAAGTACGTTAAATACTTGTGTCTATTGCACAATGAGAGTATTTCGTGAAATCTGATTCGTTGACAAACCTGGAAAGAGGAATGTTGAGGGAAAATCACAGAAATCTGTTGTTTTTTTGTATGTTTTTTCACGCCAAATAAATTTTTCAAATCTCTTCCAGAGAAACGAAAAAAAGTATTCCGACTGGAAATATATTTACACTACATAGAAATATATAAGTTTGGAAATTCTACCATATTAAGTCTAGTTGTGGTGGCCGTGGTTCATTTCCGTCTTCTTCCGTCCCTGGAAACAATGTTTTGTCACATCCCTTTAGCTACTTTTTATTTATTTATTCATATTTTTTTGGATAATATTTTAGTATACACCTACTTTCAACTTGTTTCCAGAAACTTGTGTCATATTTTGTACAGGAAGGAAATTCATTTGTTCAACTTTTGAGAATAAATGCGGACTGGGTATCGATGATATGTTTGTATGCTGTATAAAATAAGAAAAAATTCGACAGTTTAAATAAAAAATAATAAATAATGTCAAAAGTTTGATAGATTGTTCAAGATGAAGTAAATTTCATTTACGTAAATAATCTCTAGGAAATAAAATTAAGTACATTTCTAAGAAAAAAAGGCAGAATAAATTATCGACAAGTTGTTTAAAGGAAATTTCTTGAAATTTGTTTTTGTTGATGATACAAGAAGGAATAGACGTAATTTAAAATAAAATGACCTTTTGTTTCCTTTCTGTACGATAACATGCACTTCCAAAAAGATAAATTAATGCGAAAATTGAATAATGAAAAGTAACGTAATAAAATAAACGAAAGGAAATCAATAAAATAAAAAAAGAGCATAAAATTTGAGTAACTGTTTTATTACACATTTACAAGGCCATACAAATAACAACTAAAATATAAGACGAAACATATACTATCAATAATAAAAAATAAAAACAATATAATATATATTTAATAAAAATATGCAAAACAAACAAACTAATAAATAAAAATTCATTTCGGAACGTTGCATGCTCTGTTTTAAAAAGGGCTGCCCTTTCCCTTTTCCGGGCCATGGGAGATTTGTACAAACAAAGAAGGCCGGGAAAAAAATGTCGACTCACAAATTGATGTTTTACTTCTGTATATACAAAGTCATTAGGGCTTACAATACGCTTCAAAGGGGTGGCTTTTCCGATTAACCCCTGAGTTTTTTGTCGAGGCGAGTTTGACACACCGGACCTGGGCGTGGTGAAATTAAAACAGCGAGGGGAATACAATGCATATATATATCCCAGGGTCATTAATTATTAAAGACAATGGGCAAGAGTCCGGCCGTTACCTCCAGTACGTGTCAGCTGCATATTTTTTTGGACCATTTTGTACTGGAAATGCGAGTTGATTTAGTCTGGTCCGATCGTTGTAGTTTGCTCTGTTCGACGATTATTTTTCTTTTCAAGCTAGCGAGGATAGATGATCGGATGATCGGAACAACTAAACATTTTATTTTTTTAATATATAAAGAATGAGTGCTTTATGTGCAAGCATTGTTAAATTGAGAGATAAGATTTCTGAATTAACATCACGTCAAACGTTAAGAATATGTTTAGCAAGGTTATTGAATATCAAAAGGTAATAACAAACCATGATTTGTTAATAAACGGGAGGCTTAGAATTACGTCATTTGTACAGTTTCTCTGGAAATCCATTAAAAGCGTTCAAATTGGCTATTAAAGGCGTGATAAGCCCTCTGCAAATAGGACTGAACAAATAAAGCTGTGCTGGTTCACACCATGGGGGAGGAGGACGTGATTGACGCAATTTCACACGGACCGAATGGGAAAAAGTAGCCTCTTTTAAACACAATTTCCACAAAGTTTTCCTTTCAACTCATGATTTAACTCCAGTATAATAATATTATTAATAATTTACACACATTTACAATGCTTAAGAAGTGAGCATATAATTTATCTGTTATCAAAGGAAAAGGATTAACGGGTTCGGGGGTTGTGGAGGGAGGTGGTTAAGGGGGTGTTAGGCCTACTTGCAGCGAGAGGCGTTGGTGGCACCTCCCTCCCTGGCTGCTCTGTTGAAGTCCTCCGTTTCCCAATCTTAGCTGAAAAAAAAGTCAAATTTCAATTTAACTTGTATAAAAAATGTAAGTAAAGAAAAAGAAAATACAAAAATATACAAAAAATAAAAAATATTTCATGGCTAAATGTGGTTACGGCTAATGAATGGTCCTGCAGACATTTCCTTCCATTTTAAAGAAAGGTGAGATTTATATAAATTGAACCAATCGATCAAGCAACAGTTTCTGATTATCTAACATTCGTGATGATTTATTTATAATAAACTTCTGTTACACGATCCTCCTCCTATTTGTACGACTTCATCCAATCACAATTTTTGAACTAATCGATTAATTATTGTTAAAAATTACAGCTTGTTTAGGTAAAACATGAAACTTTGAGTTCTTGTAAAAAATCCTTCAGCCAGGTTACAACATTTTCATGATTAAATAAAAAAGTATATTGAAGAAGAACGGTATGCTTGAAAGATGCTGCTTGGGCGTTGGTTTGCCTTGACGCTTATCAATTGTTTGAATTTATATTGAGGACGACATAAGCTTAACACCCATGCGATTATGTTAAAATACTAAATCTCAAAAGAAATTTAAATTTAGTAGTAAATTTAAGAAAAACCGGCATATAGAATGAACAGAAAACCTGACACCGTAGGTTCTGTATGATTTTTTAAAATGAAATTAGGTTGAAAATTTTAAACATTTGGCTCTATTTTTATATTTCGACTGTCTCCGGTTACCTCGGTCTGTCAGATTTCTTGCTGAATCTACGGGGTGATAAACTGTAGTTAGGTCGTCTAGATCAACATATTCACCAGTGAAGAAGCCAAATTTAATGATTTGTCCGTGTTTTATTTTATAAACCGTGTCTTCACACACACAAAGAAAAAAATAACACAAGATTAACAAAATAAAACACCTCTGATATACCCAACCCACCAAGGAGATGTTGGCCAAAATGAATGGAGTCGGCAAACCAATAAACAATCTGATAATTTAATTAAAAATTGTCAAAACTTGAAAAAGTGGTACATGAAAAATTTGCGTAACATTTATATAAAAAAAATCTTTTAACTTCTAAGCGGTTCTTTGACAAAGAAAGCTGAAGGTGATTTGCAACAGGTGTACAGCTGTTAAGAGGTACTTTCGTTTTTTACTCTACGGTCACTTTAAAGTTTGTATAACGGTAATGACTCTGGGAAAGTTGGCCTTTCTGTTGTATGAGGCATAGCACAGGTATAAGTGGACAACAGGAGCCCCGGGATCGCTCCATTTGGCTAATAGGATCACTTACTTAGCTAGGAAAATGAGCCGATCGTCCGTTCGGATCTCTTGCTGGGTACAGGACGTCTATGATTTCCCAGTCGAGATCCCCTTCGGTCACGTTCAAAGAGAGCCGAAAAATCTACAGATTCTCCCCCGATAAAGTGGTATAAAGAGAAGTATCGCTTTAAAAGCCGAACCGCCCACTTCAACGGCAAAAGGACATTGATTTTCACGGAAAAGCTGTTATCTCCAACTCCGTCTGTAGGTGGAAGTTTGAGCTTTGGCCGGCCAGGGAAAAAATACAAGTACTACTCATTCAAGTAAATTTGCATGTTAGGAAAAGAAAATTTAAAACAACAAAATTTGTTAAGTCGCATAGAAAATTTCTAGGTTCACATCGTATATTAAAACTGAATAGTTAGTAGAAAAGTTTTTAAATTCCTGTTAAAATTATAATAAGATCTCTAAATCCGGGTAATCTTCATTTTGATCTCCATATCCTTACTGTTTTAGCCTGTTGCAACGGCTTCTCACCATCTTCATATTTTGACAATTATGTCCTTTTTATACCTTCGACAGAACCGTTGAAACTCACCTAACAGATCAAGTAGCAAATTCAATTGAGGAACATCTATACTTTAAATAAAAATACTGATTGATTGATATATCTGTACTTTATAACATATATCATGTTAATTATATTCACATTTTCCATTAGAGGTGGATTATGATTGGAAAAGATCATTGACGACCATCATTTATTTTATATTTTATCCTTTTGGGCAAGCAACAACATACACTGCCCCCCAAAAAAAACCAACCATCTGTTTTTGCACACAAAAATGGCCAAATTTGGAAATGCATAATTTCTCAGCCTTTTAAGTCACAACCTGCGCTAGGTCTTATTTTTTTAGAAAATTTTACGCTGAACAAGATGTCTTTTTTTAAATATTTCAAGCTTCAGCCATTCATCAGTAATTAAAAAATTCGGGAACATGTTAATTTTTGCGCTTTTCACGAAAACTTCAAATTGAGCTGTGGAGGTAGGAAATCCTCCTGTAGCGGCGCCCTATAGCAATCGATAGGAAATTTTAGTAAAGTTTCAATTGGTCACCTTCCACTTTGCCTCCATTTCTCAACTGTTTTCGAGTTATTCACGATTTTTGAGCAAAAAACGTTGTTTTTTATGTGGCCATGGAAAAACCCGATTTTCAAGAATTAACATGTTCCCGAATTTTTGAATTTACTGACGAATGACTGAAGCCAACAAAATCTTTAAAAAAGCTAAGTTGATCAGCGTAAAATTAAAAAATGAAACTAGTGCAGGTGTGTGACTTAAAAGGCTGAGAAAATGTGCATTTCCAAAGTTGGCCACTTTTTCGAACAAAAACCAAGTGGTCGGCTTTTTTTTGGGCAGTGTATATACAATCTATTAACCATATCATTTCAACCAATGTTATTAAACATTTGTAAGAAGATTATCATTTTTAAGAATCGAAATTAGCCTGCTCTCACTTTACGAATACACGGAACACCTGAACCTAGTTTAATCGGAGCCTAGCGAGAACAGACGGGCTGATGGTCATCAGTCAAAATAAAACTGCTGACTTTTTTAAAATTGTTAGAAAAAAATAAATAAAAGCTAGAAAATTTGTTATTCGAACTTAATTTTCCGATAATTTATTTATCGCTTATAAGAGGGGAAGCGGATGCCGAAGATTTAGGGCGTCCGACTCCTATTTTACAGTTCTGGGTTCAAATCCCTATCACGGCGTAGCCAAAAGAATGTTTAATGTCAATAATGTGTGGTGGTCAATTAGTGACCGTTAGTCGATGATTATTCGGAAATCGTGAGATGCGGTCTGGTGTGATGTGGGTTTCAGAAAAACATTTTCTTTATCGTGCCAACGTTTCGATCTTTATTGAGATCATCTTCACGGCCTGGGATTAACAAACATTGTTTAAATTTGAAAAATACATGTAGGATGTGGAAAAATGTGAATTTATACATTGCAAAAATTATTTTTTTATATTCAATCAAATCCCAGTCCCTGAAGATGATCTCAATAAAGATCGAAACATTGGCACGATAAAGAAAATGTTTTTCTGAAATCTACATCACACCAGACCGCATCTCACGATTTCCGAATAATGCCAATAATATTGAGTAAGTATTGTGGACTCCACGTCCATGACAGCCAGCGGGTAGTTCGAAGTTAGCCACTGCTGTATAAAAGGGGATTTGCGTTTTACTTTAATATTCACTTAAATAAATAGTTATTCAATATTGAATATACCATATTACTATAGCTAAATTCTTCTAAAACAAGCTGGTTTGAAATATGCACAAAAACAAAATTTAATTGATTAAGAAATCGGGATCATCCGTTCTGCTCTTTTTTTCTTTTTAATCGGACAATTTATAAATTTTCTAAATATTACAATAAATTTAAAAAATAGTTTAAAAAATTGAAACATTATATATAGAATTATTAATTAAGAGAAAATACGATTAAAGGGCGATTGTGATGTTAAAATCCGTCTTAATAGGATGTAAAACATGGCTCCGGATAATTCTCGCGTTTGAAATATGCTTTCGGGCTGACCCGGCGATTATTCAAAAGCATTGTTAAGTGCTATGATTTATGTGTTCAATTAGGAGAGCGAGCTAAAGGATTAGCTTCGGTCCGGGTGCTGAGAATGAAATAGAAAAAAAAGGAAAGGGGAATATGCAAAGTGTGGATAAGCGATTGATAGCTGGCCGTAGAGGGGTTTCGATCCCCTCAGTACGTGCAGTATCGGCGAGCAGGTGCTGCGATCCCATGGAGAACAATCTCTATTTATCCGCCGGCACCCTTTCTTGTTTGCTTCCGGGATAAGGATAGGGCTCACCAATTAAACTAGGATGTGGGCAGTGATTCCTCTATTTGTGTAAAGATTTAAAAGGAATCACGCTTGAAGCATGTCGTTAATGGGGGTTCAAAAATCCTTTTTTACATATATTACCATTTCAGTTTTCCAGATATAAATAAAATATCTTAACAAACAATAAAATTAACAGTTGGGGCGTCGGTGGCCGCAACGGTTTAGGCGTTGACACGGCGCTCATCACTGTAAGGTAAAGGTCCCGGGTTCGAATCCAGCGGCCCTGCATTCGAACCCGTCATCCTTGCAAATGGGCTTTTTTTCAAAAACACCTACACCCAGGTGAGAGGTTGATATAACCTCTGCTGTTGCGAACCCTCGTAAAAAAAATCATATATTGATAAAATTTCTTTTTCTATCAAGAAACACTGAGCATAACAGATCTACTGAGGTCGAGGTGCAGAAGGCCTTGTGGCCGCCACTTTTATCCCTATCCTATCCCTATCAAGAAACACTAAGGATGGATTGCGTGGATTAAGAAAGAATGGGCGAAAGCTCGTGTGAGGAGGGAAAAAGAGCACACCAATTTACCAAAGGAAACTCTCAAAGATTCTGCTACTATATATTTCCGAAAAAATCCAGTATTAAAGCTTATGTGAAAAGACGGCAGGGTTCACTTTAAGACATATTTGTGCAACTATTAGCAGTAAATTGTTAAAAGAAACATAAAACGAAAGGATTACTGGATTTTCATCAAGAATCGACTAAGTCGAATAGCTTTATTTTCATAAATGTTTGCCTGCAGCACTGACTTAAAAGATTACTTCATAAACTTAATATTTTCCCTCTTGAATTGAGTTCCTTTTATATTTTTATAATTTCTACGCCATAAGTTATACGCGATCAGTTATTAAAAAATACAGATGGTATTTCGTACAGAAAATTCCATTTTTTGTTAAAATATTTTTATTTGTAAGCTGAAAGTATCAATTCGTTTTGCTTATGTGTATACAGAATCTGCGGATGAACTGTTCTTGCCCTCGTTCGCAGGTAAAACGCAAACAAACGGATGATATGTTTGAAGAAGGGATCACATCATATAAAATATTTCCTTCGACAACTCAATCCCAGTTTTGAAAAGCCTTAAAGCTTGGCGGAAAAAACAAACATTCGGGACAAGTATCATCCTTTAAGCTCTTCTCGACGTATCGCCTTATTCAAACCATTGGGAAGAAGGAAAAAAGCTTAAAATATTATAAACCACGGATCCCCAATCGGTTTACGCGATTGTGAAGAGTACGTGACTGCTGTAAAGAGTTACCGGCTGAAGGCTAATCGGTGTGGATGGTTTTTTTTTTCGAATCTCCCGGCTTTTTACAAGTCAATCTGAAAGAGTTGTGATATATGCTGGCCTATATATCACAGAAGACTTTTCCTTTTTGTGCTTCTCGGACGTTTTAAATTGACTTGAAACGTCTCATTTATCTTAAGACATCGGGTAGTTCAATCCTTCATTCAAGTAACTTGAAGATCAAGAGATCAAGAGAAGGATGAAAAAAGATTCTTCAGGAAAACCATGAATGTATTTCTTTTATGACTAGATTTCAATACCGGACTTGTATCTTTGGCAATAAATAAAAATAAGCGTCTTAGTATATAATGCAGTAATTTTAAATAACAGTTATTCGAAAAAAATGCTTGTGCAACTATTGTCACTCGAGCATTAATGATTAGACTGATGTTGAAATTGATTGAAGTTGCAAAACTAAAAGACAAAATACTATTTTTTTCATTTCGCAACAATAACAGTCATTATTATTCAACAGTTTCTACTTGTAATTGTTATCTAATATTTTAAAATATAAAGTAATTTTCGTGTGTATTTTTAACATTTAAGGCAGTCATTTTTTTTTCTTTAAAACGCAAAATACTATTTTGGCTGGGCAAAGCTCATAAAAAAATCGTACACACTGAAGACAGTCATCATAACAATCATTTTTGTTGTTGTTCACAGTTAGATGATCCTGGATTATCCTGACACGCCCATTCTCGCCGTACTAGGCTGCGTCAAATTGCAGGACAATAACCGGCAGATAAACATACAAAATGTTTTATTTTGATCTTATTTTCCTTTTTAAATATAGTTTAATGTTTTATCCTTAAATTTAAGAGCCACAACCTGAACTAATTTATTGTAAAAGACAAGATTAAGAGATTACGCGCATTATTCACACTAAATTCACTAATTTCGTGGTCCGCTTGACCAATTAATACATTACAATTAATTAAGGTTTTTTTTTGTTAGAGCAGCGGCGTATCTAGCCGAAGATCGTGGGTTCGAATCCCGCTCGTGCCATTGACTTTTTTTCATCTTAAAAAAAAAAAAAGAAGTAATTAATTGTAATTATTCACACTGTTGCTTGAAAAATCTGTACGTTGAACTTAAAGATCTGAAGAATGAAGTAAAGTAAAAGTAAGTAAAATTTTTAGTGAAAAATCCTCAATAAGATAAATTCAATGGCAGAATATTAATCAAACCGGTTCAACGTTGTCATTTAGCTACGGACACATGCGCTTTACGAGTTTGTAATTTTTCAAACCGACGCGACGCGGTTGAAAGGGGCGACAATGTGCTTTTTTCAACCGAAAGGGGTGAGTTGTTCTTTTAAAAAAGGCGATGAACCGAACTACGAAGTACTATTGTCGTTGCTCCTCAGGCAGAAGTAGCAATTGTCGATGAGCCCTCGACACCATGCGGAGTCAGTTAGGAGCCGGCGTGGTACCACTTCTTTCGCTTCAAAGCATCTTAAACGAATCGGAAAAAGTGTTTTTGAAGGTAAATTTTATATGTGCACTTTAGAAAAGCGCGCACTTGTTTATTAAGAAACATTTTAATTTCGAAAAACCAAGGTTGAATAAAAATCTTTTTTAAGATGAGAAGAATGGACAATGTATTTCATAAAATCAAATTTATTTGTAAAAAAACTGTACCTTCCTTAGAAAAATCTATTTTCTTGATTAACATTAAAAAATGTATTATTATCTATTATTTACCTTACCTCAACGTCGTGGCCGTCCTGTTGACCCCGGTATGCCCGCTGTTTCTCTTCCAAGTCTCTATATCTCTGGTTGTAGCGATCGATTTGCTGCCGTAGGATTGAATCTTCATGCTGGAAACGACAACAGTTTAGCATTCCAGACTTTGTCCATTTTTAACAGTTGAATAAGCCTACCATAGCTTTATCTTCGTCGTACTCCAGGCATCCGACACCGTCGAGCCTTTCAAGATCGATCCAGCCCCTCCACCTCACGCAGACACCGTTCATGATGAACTGAGACCTGATGTGGACCTGGAAAAGGGGAAAAGGAACGCTAAGTATTCCTGGAAGTTAGAGGGAAATATTAAAGACCCAGAGCCGTGAAAAGGCCATTGTCACCCCTAGGGTTAACTTGTTGACATCTGTATGCCCGACTTTCCGATCCCTTTGTCCCGGCCAGGATATATCCCCGAATAAAGGACGTTTGTGGACAGAGGCACAAAAGTCCATTCCGATGTCTTCGGAAAGTCTAATTTCAAGCTTCCCTCTGCCAATTTGACAGTTGGCACAACTCACAAATGGACAAAAGTTATTTGAAAAAGCCCTGCTCAGTGCCATTTACACATATTGACCATTAGCACATCAAATTATTCTAATATACCCATAAATGTAAAATGATATAATTCTTCCCTCTGTGCATAGTAAGATGTCTATGTCAACTATGCATGAATAACAGTTAAATAAAATGGGAATAAAACTCGAATTTTTCGTAAGTTTAGATTTTGTCCTGTTTGATTTAGAACATCCTTTGTTATCCTTTCCGTTGTGCCTTAATGGCTTGATTTTATTGCTATTTGTAAACAAGCCCAGAGGGAACTCGTGCAACAAAACGAAGAAGACATGTGGCAAACATCTGTACGTTCTTAATTACACGACTTAAAATTCGTGTTCCTCCAATTCGGTTTATTGTGAACATGTTTTTTTTTGTTTTATATCAATAACTCCCAAGGAAAAAGCCGTCCAGGAAGCACCCACCGTCCGACAGAAATAAAAAACACTAATCTACCTGTTTTTCTTTTCTTTCCTCCCCTTTATTAGGGGAGCTAACTGAGTTATATGTCACGATTTGTCTCGGAGGGTCGCCCTGAGACGATCATTGTAAAAGTTAATCGCTTTTGTTTTTTCCTAGACTACAGGTATAGCAATAACAGTTCCCATAGTGGCGTTTTCGTCGTAGGTCTTGGGCATTTTTTTTATATTAGTTTTTATTGAAAGTATAACTATCAACGTTAGTCCCATCTTGGAAAGGAAAAAAAACTAGAAGTCGAATTATTAATTACATTCTATTGTCCTCTTTAACACACTGTGTTTAAGAATCGTTATTTTATTTAAATAAATATTATAGTCTTAAATACTAAAATTAATAATTGAATTAAAATATACAGGGTGTATCAACTTCTATAATCCACTCATTTAATTAGCAAACGATTAACTTTACGAAAATGGTCTTATCCAAACCCCAAGATAATTTTAGCTAGGAATCGCGTTGTGGTAACAGATTTAACGTAACTTTTCATCTAGTTTGGAAATGACACCACCAAACTAGAATCCCATATTTTTAAAGTTCAATTCTTTTTTAGATAATATTTTATGTCACTGTATGAAATTGGGGTTTGTATAAGACCATTTTTTCCTAAAGTTAATCGTTTTCGAAATAAACGGGAGGGCCATCTTTTTACAATCCTCACGCGTCTTCCTTCGGACGGTGTTCCTTGTAACTCAGAAATGGTCGATCCTATCAAAATTTTCCTTCCAGTGGAAGTGGCATAAAATAAGCTCTAGAATCGAAGTGTTCAATAAACATATGGGATTCTTATTTAAAATAACAAAGTTAGTGTCACTTCCCAGCTTGATAAGAAAGGCAGGCGTGAAGGGTATTCATTTTGTAGCAAGATGGCCCTCCTCGTTTATTGCGAAAACGATTAACTTTAGCAAAAAATGGTCTTCTACAAACCCCACGTTCATACCATGGCATAAAATAATGTTTAAATCGAAGTGTACAATAAAAACATGGGATTCTTAATTAAAATAACATAGTAAGTGTTATTTCCAAGCTAGATGAGAATGTTACGCGTGAGGGGTATGCATTTTGTAGCAAGATGGCCCTCCTCGTTTATTGCGAAAACGATTAACTTTTGCAAAAAATGGTCTTATACAAATCCCAAGTTCATACCATGGCATAAAATAATCTTCAAAATCGAAATTTACAATAAAAACGTGGGATTCTCAGATAAAATGACAAAGTAAATGTTATTTCCAAGATAGATGATAAATATATGTTAAATCTGTTACCATGACTCGATTCTTAGCCAAAATTAACTGGGGCTTGTATAAGACCCTAAAGTTAATCGTTTTTTAATTAAATAGGTGGACTACAGAAGTTGATACACCCTGTATATTAGATTTTGCCTAGAATATGTATTAGTTGCAGCTTATACATCCAAAACAAGATGATGCCTTTTTTATTGCGCCTAATTATTTAAATAAGGTGGAAAAATGAAAGAAATATTGCAGCTTTAAGTTGTTTAGATGGGTGAATTCAGATGTAAGCAAGGACAGGCAATGACATATCGTCTGGTTTACAAATAAATCAGCATCGAAAGAGACAAGCTAATATGTAAGGATCGAAAAGGACAATTGCAGGTTAAAAGGGCGTTTCAGTTCGAGGATCTCCAGTTTGATAAATGTTTTCCTCCCCTGCCTACTGGACAGGCTGGAAAAGGGCCCTCGGAATTGGCCCATGAAGCGAAATACAACAATATTTTGTATGAAGGCGTGGGCTTCTGTTGTTGACCGTCGCTCCTCTTCCGTTGCTCTTTCACATAAATATCGGCAGTTTTCAGAAGTACCGTCATTAGGAAGGGCTTCACATAAATCCAGAGTTTATGTGACAACCGATTCTCGGCCAGGTAACGCACGGCGGGACACTTTTATACCCTGTTCACACGTTGAAATCCCCGAAGCGCATTCACTCATCACGCTCGGCGTTGGGGGGAAATTTTGTTTCTAATGTCAAATAATTTTGTTTATTTAACCAGAATCGGGATGATTTGTCTGTGCATGATTAGAAAAACTTACATGCTCAAGAAATGATCTTGTGGATTTCTGCCCTTCTATTCATGGTTCAGGGGGACACACTTCGTCTAGAAGTGTGCCTATTGCTGTCTTTTGATTCTCGTGTTATATTTTCAGTCACGTATGACATAAACCCAATGAATCCCATCAATGAAGAACGCGAAACGCGATAGACAAAAAAAAAAAAATAGATAACCAGACCAGAATTATCGGTACTACAAATAGTCAAAACTTGTTTTAAAGCATTTGTTGATTATATAATAAAACCATTTGTTAATATTTCTGCTGAGTTAAATTACAAAGTAATTCTGACCATAATATTGCTTTATTTGTTTATGGTATTACAATAAACCGCTATTACTGCCCAATATATGATATGAGATTGTTTAGTCGCGTTGTAAATTGGCCAAACCTTTATGCTAATCATTTTAATAGTAATGCCTGTCTAAGTAAAGATTAACATGCTTAAGAATCAAATAGTTAGGATTTCTCCAAGAAAGGAGTAACATACTCAAGGAAGGATTTAATGCTGTGGATTTCTGTAAGTATATTGAGGAAAATAGTAAAAAAATATGCTCAATGAATTGTATAACGAATCTAATCCTGTTGATCCCCCTAGTCTCTCCAGAAAGAACGAACCCAATCCTGAGGATTTCTCACAAGAAAGAGTAACATACTCAAGAAAGGATCTAATACTGTGGATTTCTGTGTGTATATTGAGAAAAAGAGTAAACAATATGCTCAATGAATGGTATAACGAACCTAATCTTGTTGATCCCCCTAGTCTGTGCAGGAAGAACGAACCCAGTCCTGAGGATTTCTGTAGGATTCTCTCAGGAAAGAGTAACGTACTTTAGAAAGATACATTAGACAGGACACACTGTGATTGTCTTTATGTCCGTTTAAGATGCCCGAGTCTTTAAATCTTAGTTGTTAAATTATTAAGCAGTTGAAGTTTTTTTCTCGCCCATCACCATGGTTCTTGTTCCCATAGAGCATACATCCCCTCGCCCTCTGCGTAACCTTTGCATGCTAAATAAACAAAGAGAAACAAATAGCGTCAACGCCTCCTTTTTCTCAAAGCAAAGTCATTAATTACCGACGTTGGGGTTCCTTGTATTAACGGCGTGTAAATGTGGTTTTTTTTCTCGACAAATTTCCCCTGAGACATCTTGCGACATGATCTCTTTTTTCCAAAAATACAAACTGGTTCTAACTGATCCCGCACCTGTATTTACATAACATATTTATCACCTGTCGCCCCTTTGAAACCGTTTAGAACAACAGGCGACCTCAAGCGAACCCTCTAATCGTCCCGATTCCATGAAAAAAGGAGCTCACAAAGACTTAGGTATGCTTGAAATTACCCCTTGCCCAGTAATCATGATTGAAGCATCATGACGCAGGCATATGGTTAGGATAATAGTGACAAAATTGTATAATCTAATACGTGATTCTATTTTCTTTTACCATCCTCTTTACCAAGTACAAACCGCGCTTAGGAGAATCGTACAATTACAGAATCGATTTCCGCTTCCGACCAAGGTTAACACTCTTAATTCAAGTAATTATCTTATTATATCATATTTGTCTAACAAGAAGGATAGTTATGGAATAATTATTTATTGGGATACTTTTTATTGCTAAATTAAAAATTTTTTAGAATGTGAATTTTTTCGCCAACAGTTTGATTCCAATGAAAATAGATTTTTTCAGGGGTCGATGATTTCGTTTTCAGTTAGAAACCGGACAAAAAAATGTTAGATTTTCCACGGCATAAAGTGTAATCGCGCGTCAAAAAACGCCCTGTCTGGTGGAAAGTCGTAATTGAATTACGTGTTACATTGTCAAGGGGGTGACAATTAAAATGGGGCGGAGGGTTTAGAAAGGGGTAAACCGTTGAAGCTCGACTCCCCTGCTGGCATAGTATTCACAGCCCTTAGTCGATTTCTCAATTCAATTTCTGTTTTCGTTCCAGACGAACACGCCTACGACAATTGTCCCGGTTTAAAAAGAACATGCCTTGTTTCTAAATTGTTTCCTATAATTTGTTTCACCTGGTATTGGATCTCAAAATCCATGCGACAGGGGGGATGGAACGAAGCCACTTGCTGGTCGAATAAGAAAACAGCTTGAAAACGCAGAGAGATATCACTAAATTCGATATTCATATGCTT